GGTTTGTTTTGGAGTTTTTAAAAATTTTTTTCCCTCTCCTTTCCTCTCCCCTTAATTAAACCAAAAATAACCCCAAATGTTTAAAATCGCTGCTCGGAGATGGAGGGGAAACATACTAAGTGAGCAGATGGGAGGAATAAGCCCCTGTGACTCCATACGTAAAATGGCCATGGAGGCGGTGAAAAATGAAACTAAAAAACAACTGTTTTCTATTTACAAATTTAAATAAACAGAACAGCCTTCCCCGCGGTGTTTGTCTAAGTGCAGCAGCATTGCTGCTGTGTAGGTCATGAAAAGGTTGGTGCATAGTTTAAAACTTCCCATTCTGTTAATTTCTTAAAGAACAGTCGTTCATAGTCTGAGCACAAAAGCTCATGATTTAATGAGGAACAGAAACAAAATCTCTGATTGTTGGTGTTTCAAACTTCATTGGAGTCCTCTGGCAACCACAAGTTGATCCTCTGCAGCTTCAATACCCTTTAGCCCTCCATATAAGAGTACATGCTGAATAGAGGACAATGCCTGGTTGTTATGTTTATTTACCCTTACTACAAGCTGGGTTAACCTCTTCAAAACAGCTTTACTAAGCCCGTTAACCACACGGCCCACATGACCTGTAGCCGTATCCCTAATGTGATGTAAATCTGACTCGAGACCATATGCACAAGTTCTGCTGCATTGTGCCTCCGAAAACTACAAGTTTATTGCCGTCCAACCCTTCCCGGGCTGGACGCTTCCAGGAGGAAACGCTCTGAATAGCGACCGCTTAAAAAAAAGAGAAGAAAGTCAAGAGTCCCACATTGTTGGAGCAATATTTTTAATGGCTGTGCCACATTTACAGAGGTGGCGGGGAATGCAAAGCCCGCACAGGGTCATGATTTTCATCACAATTATTTCAACCGGTGCATAATTATTTGAGGCTTTGCCCTTTCTGACAGGAGTTATGCACCAGAGCGGGAAGAAGCATAGATACAAATAGAAGCAATCGACCCGGTTTTCATCTGCTCTTTCAACAGAGCTCACAGTTTATGTTTTGCCTTTCTTCTTCAGTGAAGTCATAATCCTGCGTTCATAGTAATTATCGTGATGTCACACAGTCAGTGATGTAACTTCATTGCAGGCTATGAGTAGTATGTGGGCCGTGCAGGAGCGAGCAGTGGTTTGAGTCGGGAATAGTTTTAGTAATTAGCAATTCTGGCAAGCAAACTATGACAGATCTGCAAAATGGAAATGAATTTCTGCTTAAGCTTGAAGTCTTTAATTTCCCCCCCCAAGTATTATAGTCATCTTTTAAAACAGCTACTGGGGCCCCATGGCGAGAGCTTCATTTACCAGCTCATTTTTTCTTGATGGCTGTGGCAAGCGTAACAATGTTCTGTGCCTGCTTCAGTAATGGCATGTCGATCATGCTCCCGTGGAAAGTAAATGCTCCCTGGAAAAGAGAGAATATAAACTTCCTGAGAGGACCTCTGGAAATTGTAGTTGGCCTGTCTTTTTCTTTAAAAACACATCCATTTGCCAAGAAATGCCAGCTCCCACAGGAATCCTGAATGAGTTTTAGGAGACAAACTAACCGAGGCAGGGCAAATGCGTTTAAAGAGATGCGGTGGGCGCTGAGTCCTCCAAAGAGGAGGCAAAAAGAGAGAGAAAAGAGAAGTCCAGCGTGCAGCCTGCTTGTTTCAGCCTCTCTAGCTGGCAAACACCGAGGGTCAAGAGCAGCAAGGCCATGGATGCCAGCTGCGGGGGCTGGCAGACACTGCACCTGGGGGGCAGCTCCACTCCCCATGTCCGGCATCACCCTCCAGCACTGGGGCCATGCCACAGGGCCGGCACGAAACTGTCTGCAGATGGAAGGGAAAGCCAGAAGTGTTATCTTTGTCAGGAAACAGCAATAGGCGTTTTGAGGGGGGGAGGGAAGTTTCCCTGACTTGGGAGTGTATTGAGGTTGTGCTGCTGCACATCTCCATCAGGTCTCCAGCACTAAAAGTAGGCTGGGCTTGTGCTTAGAGCCAGGGGCTGGGATGAAAGCTGAAGGAACAAGTAGCTGGCGCAATAATATTGCCCAAATCTGCTCTGAAGCCAAGGTAAAGCCCACCTGAGCACTGCATATAGGGGATTTCCCAAAGCAGATGAAGAAGTAGCCAGTGCGCCTCAGTGGTGGTGATCTGAGAGCAAGGGCGGGTTTCAGAAGTCACTTTGTATTTCTAGGGATTTTGTGTTGGTACCATGGTGACAAGTTTAAAATAATTGACTATGAATTGTAGTTAAATCTTAAACAGAAGACACATGTTTTAAATAGGGCCAAACCTGACTTGTTCCTTTGGATGCTTTAATCCACATGTATTGCTGAGGTAGGCTTTTGAAGATAAACCACTGTGCGTCAAGACATGCCAAAGTTCAGCGGAAAAAAAAATAAGTATCTTATTTGTAATTCTGACCGTACTTGGAGATATTCTTGAAAAAAAACAAATACAAAGATACAATCCCTTCCCTGAAGAATTCAGAATTGAAGGCCTGGCCCCTGCATTGCGTAGGGCATCTCTGTGAAGCATTGCGCACCCTTTTAATGTCCTGCTGCAATCAATACGGGATCACAGGCTGGCCTTAGATGAGTAAGGCTAACCAAGAACAGGGTAAGAACGATAGCAGCATGTGTGTCTATGCATGCATAGCGAGAGAAATGCAGAGGAGAACAAGCCGTTTATTGTTTTCTGGTTTTCATTTAAGGCTTAATAATCATTAAATAGGGGACTCTAGCAAGTAAAATGAAAATGTAACCCATTTACAAAAGTGTTTAGGAAATGTGTTGCTCCAGTGACATATCTAGCTTGACTGAAGCAGTATTAATTAAATACTAAATCACATTCTAGAACAGTTAAGACAAAAATCCACCTTAAACAGTAATCTAATATAAATCAGTATCGTCGCATGTAAGAACAGGCTGTATTAAAGGCATTAAAAGTCTAATAGTTAAAACTATTGTTTTATTCAGAGTAGGATTTCCTTCTATAGCTTGCAGTATTTTAGATGGATTTGGAGAACAATGGGACTGACAGATACTCAAGCGTAGATGCTTCAAATTGAATTTCTTGTTTACAGAGCAACCAATCAATCTTACATTACCCCAATAACAACAACATTAATAATATTATTATTACTATTACTGTTAATAATAACACACCACCTTTTATCTTAGCTACACCTCAGCCATTTTCACTTATACATTTAAACCTTTACAGAAAATGCAGTGTCAAACTATTCCATTTATTAATTGTTGTGAAAATAAATTGGGAACTAAGTAAACATTTTATGACATAGGACTTCTTCAGAATAATTCAGGTCTATGTAGTGATCTCGAACTGCGAAATAAATTTTTTTCACTGTAAGAAAAACATATTTTAATTGTGCCTATTTTTCTATAGGCATTCAGTCAAATAATATCTATTGCTTAAAAGAGAAATTTGCATGTGGGATGGCAGTGGTAAGTAGAGATATGTTAAGGCCTGGAATCATCCTTCCTAGTTCTGTGAAATGGCTGACGTAGGAGTGCAGTTATCCTAAGCACCTGCAGTAGTTTGCAGAAAGAGATGGGCATCTAGGAATGGCAATTCTGATCTCTGGTGGTCCAACTCATGATCGGGAGGGTCTTATCCTTTCCACTGACTGTATACAGGATGCTCTGAAGTCAGGTACCTCTGCAGGTGCCTAAGTTGGAGCATGATGAATCTGGGTCACGACATCTTTTTTAGAAAGCAGGAGTTAATTAAACAGCATGCCTGTCCTCTCCTCATTAAAATAACATGTTTAGAAAGGAAACCAGGATAATAGTGTGTGTGTGGACACATGAACACTGAACCACTTGAGATCTGCCGTACATTCTCTTCTTGTCAGCAGGCAGCTGTAGTTTGGGTTGCTAGGAATTTGAATTCTTGAAGGAAAAAAAAGCTTTTTTTTTTTTTTTTCTGACAGCAAAGAGTTACATGAAGAAGTTGGCTTCTCTGCCTGTTCACTCTGAGGCTTATTTTCTCCCTGCTAATTTGCAGCGTTGAGCTAAATTCCAAAAAAAGAAACCAATTTTAATGCCATGGAATATACTCTATTCACTGCCTCTCTTTCCACCCACAGGTTTCAACAGATAGGAAATACCAGTAATTATAGCTTTGTCCCCATGCTCTCTTTTCCAGTTCTGCTAGATGAAATTTGCCTTTAGCATTCTTTCGATTTTCTCTCACATGAAAGTAAAGAAAACAAGACTTTCTATAAACACCATTTGCTTTGATAGCGTTAATCTGGGGATTAATTTAGTCATAGATCTAAATTTTCTTTTTGGCTAATTTTCTCAATAATGTCATGCTTCCAGCTTGTACTTAGACTGTAGGACCAAAGGTTGGTTCTTAAGGAAGCTTGCAGTGTGTATGGGAGAGATGGCAGGTGCGTGGTGCAAGGCTGGGGTTTGCATCCATCGTGTTCGGTGGCTTGTGGTTCTCCCTTGCCATGTGGCTGTATAGATCATTCAGTGGGAGCCTTTTCAAAAACCTGCAAAAGGACCCTGCCACCAGAGTCAAATGTGTCAGACCTGCCCTGGGAAGAGACAGGCCCCCCAGGGAAAGGCTGAGGTAGGAGCTGGGAGAAGGAGCAGCCGGCAGGCAGAGCCACAGCTGATGGACACAACCTTTGGGTGATGATGCATGGGTGCAAGTAACTGGGGTGGGATGAGAAGCGGGGACTGTTTCCCATTTGGGTCATCATGCAGACTAGCTAAGAGTCCTTCCCAGTTGACTGACAAGCAAGGAAAGACTCAAAGGTGTTTCCTTTGGGATAGCTCTGAGAGAGCAGAGCAACAGGAAGGCAGACCCATCTAGCTCCTCTTCTCTCTGCCTGGTTATTGCAGCTGCCCACAATTTGTCATTTCCCCATCTCCATCTCTTGTATCAGACCACCTTCTCTAGGCTGAACGATGCAGGACCAGTACTATGTAATTTGCTGCATCCCTCAGGAACCATGTAGTATTTGAATACAATAAATTCACAATGACATTTAATGCTCTGTTAAAACAGTAGTAACATTTTAAAAAACATAACAGCTATTTATGCAAGATGCAGGCCATGCTGAGTAAGATCTTAACCGCTCTACTTTGAATTTCAATGTGTCTTAAAGTGCTTTGAGAATGGAACAGAGAAGGAGAGAAGGCTTGTGGCAAATACAGAAAACAGCTGGAAGGGAATTAAAATTATAGAAAGCTGCTAGTTGGTTGGGTTTTTTTTCTTTTCCCAGAAGGAAACAGCAAAAAAATTATAGTCTTGGAAAAAAAAGAATGGAGCATGGTCAGCCCCAAGTAATAAAAAGACTCAGCCTACAGACAAGAGAAGCGATAAGGCAAAGTTGACAGAGAACAGTCATTTTCACAGGTCAGGAGCTGAAGATACAGGCTCATGAAAAAGGGGGGCAAATCAAGTTGTGCACTAGGAATAGCTAATGCAATAAATTTCCAGGTGGCTGTGGAGAGGACCAAAGAGATGCAGAACCAAACTTTGTAACACAACGGTTTGACAGAGCATAAGCTTATGAACCTCCTTTTGCATACATGCAGCTGCTACCAAAACCAACTCATATCTAGCCAAGTGCAAGGTGTAATTGAGGGCTCTTTGGCAACTTGGAAGACAACTCTGGCCATATGTTACCGTGGATCTTGGACATGGCTCCTGTCATATCTGTATGTCATCTTTAAAGATTTCCTTTACCTATAAGAAATGACATGTATCAAGTTGTAGAAAGAGTCTCAGCGTTGCTCTGCTGTTCATTGCCACAGCCAAAAGGTGAACACGTTACTGCAGTGTTTCCTGGAACATGAAGACCTCCTCATTTTGTGTGTGTCTACGTGTGGCAGCATTCACATGCTCTGTGAAACTTTTGGGTGTAGTTAAGAGCTTGGTAAATCTATGCAACCATCTCATAAACAGAGTATGGGGTTTTTTTTGTTGTTTTTTTTTTTTTTTTTAATAGCAAGAAGCATTTTACCTTTCTAGAAGTTAAATGGACAAGATTCAGAGTCCATGATTTCTGTATCATCTGGGGATCAATATGTTTTGGCGGAACTAGGAAAGGTGAAGAAACGGTACAGCCAATTCTCTTGCTAGTGTTTATCATGGGTGGTAGAACTGTGCTGACTTTGACTACAACAGGAGATAGACAGGATCACAAGTGAGGTACCCTTCATGTTTTTCCAGAAGATCAGGGAAAGTAAAGTTTCATACTTCTTCATCCTGAAACCTTTTCATAATATACAGTGTTACGTGGGGTTTTACTCCAACCATCTTTTGCTTCCTTATGTTCCACTGGGTTAACAAGAGAAACAAGCTGGCTAGAACTATAATGATACAGAATATTTAAGGCATCTCATAGTGATGTGACACAATGATCTCTGAGCTGTGG